TAGTAATTAAAGAATCCATGTTACATGTTGAAAGTACTACAAATAACATGTAACAAACAAATATTACACACCCATTACTTTTAATAGTAGCAAAAAATAATAATAAATAAATAAATAAATAAATAAATAAGGTAAAATGACCTTAGAGACCGGTTGTTAGTATAACCGGGCTCTTTTAATTAAAAAAGAAAGCAACGGGGGTGATACTGCTAACATTTAAAAGACCTGTTATTTATAATAACGGGTTTATTTGGTTGAATTTTTTGTAAAAAAATAAAATTGAACTTTAAAATATATTTTTTTTGAACTGATGATGCACGGGCACCCAGTGTGCACCAATGTAGATCCGCCCCGGGTAACAACCTCCACTTTTGTGCACGTTAAACCATCTGATGTATCTAATGAACTCAGACAATCAACTCATATCCGATTACTCGATCCGAGTTACAAGATCACCATTGCCACATCATTATATACTCACTCGTTCAACAAGCTATCTACATTCACGTGAGAAGATCCATCTCATAATTCTCATCACGTACATAAGATTTAACTATACTTGTTTTGATTCCTTCTTCCTAGCTTTCCCTTATTTTTTAACTATTTATGATATTTACATCAAAAATATCCAATATGTTGTATAGTTACTGTTTTAGTTGAAAAAGAGAATAAATTTATCCCCAAACTAAGTATCCCCATGGTTCTTTGTCCCCCATTTTAATTTTTTTTTTTAAAATTTATTTTCTTTTTATGTCTCCTTTTTATACACCCTACTTTATCAAACCCTCTCCCTATACCTTTTAATCATTTAAAAAAAAAAAATTTAAGGGTCGTTTGGTTGGATCATTTGAAATGAGTTAGAATGAAGTTAGAATTCATCCCATCTAGTTTTTTATTTCGTTGAGATTTTTAGTAACCCAAGGGGTTCTAATTCCCCCCATACTCACCCCCTGTAAGATTCACAATCTATTCTATTAATGAAGGATATAATTTATTTCAACAATAAAACAAACAACTTCGGACTAATATGGGTTTTAAAATCCATATCTTTCTAGTATGAGATTTCATATCAATTCATTCCAACTTGATGAACTAAACACTCCCTAAATGGTTTTCTATTAAAAATTATTTTAAAAATTCATTAAATAAAAAAAGGAGAACCACAGACAAGTAAACTAAAATCCCTAGATTTTGTAAGAGGACCCACGTTGTCACAATCCCCTTGACTATATCCTGTCTTATCAATAGAATTTAATTAGCACTACATTTAGGTTAGGTAATTATGATTATAATAAATTAAGAAAAATTCTACGTGGTGGCCTTCAGGTTTCAATTTTTTTACGTGGAAGACAAAAATTTTTTCCAACTCTCTTAGATGGCACTCTAGTTATGCAAAATTAAGTGTAGTGTCTTTTTTTGGTTTTATGGCTAACTTTTATAATTAAAATGGTTAACCTATGAATTTTTAGTTTAAAAATAAATTAAATTATATTTTAAAATAATAAAATTAAAAAAAAAATCCTAATATTCTAGGTCACTTGACACGTGTCAAGCTGTAACTAGTCCAAAAAAATAAAAATAAAATTTAAAGAAAAAATCAATAAAAAAAATCAAAACAAGCCACCACCAGCCCACAACCACTGGCGGTGGCCAATTCCCTCCACAACTAAACAAACTACCCTGTCCCTAACCCCAGCCTCAAAACTTCCCTCAAAACCGCCTCACCCCCGCAGAACCAGCCCCCTCTCCCTCCCCCCACCCCCCTAAACCAGCCATAGCCACAACCACAGTCTCGAAACTGCCACCCATAAAACCCAAAACCACTTATAACCGTCCCTGAAACTATCTCCATCCCCTTCCCCAACCCCTGATTCCACCTATAACACCAACCCCAACCCTCGAAATCACCTCCCCTACCCCCAAAACCACCAAAAACGCAGCCCCTTCCCTTTCTCTCTCCTCTAATTGCCGGAAAACGCAAATAAAGAGAGTGACGGGTGGGTTTCCGATGTGGGTAGGGTTTATGGTAGGTCGGAAAAGTGGGGTTGAGGGATCAAAGAGGGTGGTTTATGGGTGGGGCTTGCCGGATGGGGAAGGTCGGCCACCAGCGTTGGGTGGCTGGTGGTCTTTGTTTTTTTTTTTCCTTTTTTTTGTTTTTTAATTAATTTTTTTTTATTTTATTATTTTAAAATATAATTTAATTAATTTTTAAACTAAAAAACCTTAGGTTAACCATATTAATTATAAAAGTTAGCCATAAAACCAAAAAAAAAAAAAAAGACACTACACTTAATTTTCCAAAATCAGAGTGCCACTTGAGAGAGTTGTAAAAAAGTTTGATGTAAAAAAATTGAAACCTAGAAACCACCAGGTAGAATTTCCTATAAATTAATTAATAAAGTCATCACTTTAGTAGCAAGTGGTTGAGGAAAATTGTTGCAAAAAAAAATAATATTACCTTATTTTGAGGATAATTGATTAGGACCACGAGTAATTTTTTCCTATTCCACGTCACAATGATAATCCAAAGTTCCTATCATCCAATAAACATAATAATTAGATCAATCTTTAATTAAAGTATAGTTTAATCCTAGTTAGTTTAATTTAATAAATTTCTAAAGAGCATATGCATATGTCCAAGAGCATGCAAAGACTTTAAGTATGCTTTTGTTTTCATCAAGGTTGATTGGCTTGATATGATTAAAGATACATAATAAATGATAGTGGAAATTTTTAGAACCGGATACCATGAAATTGATTGGCATCCAATATTAATTTAAACACATCAAATTATCATCTGATTAATAGATTATTAATAAGTCAATGAAATCATAGTATCATGCTAAAGTAAGGTTAGTTGAATACCACTTGAAGTATTGGATATTGCTAAATAAAAAAAAAAAAAAGAAGGGATAGAACTAGAAGAGTTATATTAAAATCCACGAATAAAGCTCGAGTGAGATTTCATCCTCAAAAGCGAGTTTAAGATTCATCACACCTCTTAGAGAGAGAGAAGAAGAAGAAGAAAAAAAAGCAAAAAAAAAAAAAAAAAAAAGAGAAAATTGAAAAAAATTGTGTGTTAAAAAGCTCAAAAATCCTACCCAACACTCTTTCATAAGAAGGTTAGATTTGCTCTAAAACAATAGCCAACAATTAGGTCTAGTCACATAGACACATACATTGTGGTACAAACTCGATCCGAACAATAAATGTTTACCAACCTTGATGCTATTTTTAAAAATGAAAAGAAAAAAAATAAGCTATATTTGAGCCAAGTATATGTTATACTTTTGCTCCTTAATTTCTTTTAATATCTCGAATTAGAGGTTAGGAAAAAAAACAAAGAAAAGGGTAGGTGGTTTCAAAAAAAAAAAAAAAAAAAATAACAAGGAAAAGTAGGAGATAGTTATTAAAAATAAAAAAAAAAAAAAAAAAAAAAAAAAAGAAAAGTTAGCATAAGTGGTATACCAATCTATAATAAATAATGATTAAAAAAAAACAATTGGTGGATATCATAAGGATATGTTTATGAGACTCATTAGATGGAACTAGTGGGGGCAATGGAAATTTTTTTACAAATTATGTACCTCAAATTATATATTTCATGTAAAAATTCAATTTAGAATAAACTAAAATAAATGGAAACATAAAAAATAATAATATAACAGAATAAGTAATGTATACTGTGGTCAATTGTGTGTAAAACTACATTTCAATCTAATTTTGTAGCAAGATATGTGATAATTGGCCTTATTAGAAAACTAGCACTGTGGTCAATTACTCTTAGAATAAAAGTATAATAGGAAATTTGCTTAAGATAAGATCAAATGCCAAAATTTGTGGGGCTAATTTGTTATTATGATTGTATTAACTAAATGGCCTACGTTGAGTAGCTTACTAGGTTAGAACCCATGTGATGTACGGTTTATATAAAATCTATTTTTATAATTTGTAAATTTTTAAAAAATAGATAAAATTAGAATTATGCACCTTGTACAAAAATATCAGTACTTTTAAAGTTTTAAATTTTCATCAAAATTATGATATAATACTTGTTCAACGTCGCCTAATACATATTTCATTGTAGGAGTTTATTTATCAGTGTGATATTTAAAATTATTTCATTTTTAAGGATAAATTGATAGGTTGTAGTTGTAATATGGAAGCTTCTAATATTCAAATATCAAAATTATTAATTATGATAGCTCAAAAAATAAAATTAAAAAAAAATAAAAATAAATAAAAAAAAAAAAGATGACATCAATCTTTACATTTAGGCGGAAATTTTTTTATTATAAAAGTGACATATGGACAGTGATGACGTCAACAAAGTTTTATTTTAATAATAATTAATAGATTGGCTTTTAAGCCTTTAAGGCAGCATTTTGCATAAGACTAACAAATTGGTCAAGATAAGATCAAAAACAATCTTAGTTTGACTTCATATGCTCACAAAATTGGGACAATTAAGTGAAGAGTACAACCAAAGTGAAGTCCTACTCCGTATTTGATTGCGATTGGTGAAAATCTGACCCATGAAAATGTCGGATTAATGATATTCTTACCAAATTCAAAATAATCAATCAATCAAGTTAAGGAGCACAATGTAAGCCCGTTATTTAAACATAAACCACCAATATATCATATGACTCCTTGCTTAAAACAGTTCTAGCTCTTATAAGAGTAATAACTTGAACAATATATATACTTTATAAGTTCATACAAACTATAGTACTATCTATTACTTTATCATTTACTGGCAAGGATATCAAGTTATTTCACCAGTTTCAAAGTCAAATAGTACAACATTAAATTTGAAGTTATATTTAAAGAATTAACGTCTTTACATTGATTTTCCAAAGTGCTTTATCAGTATACTCTACGATACTTGAATCAAAATGTGGCCAAGTAATGAACTAAATTAATTAATCTTAGATGACATTGGATAAAATAACAAGAAAAACACTAATAACATAAATTTTAACAATTCACATTGAAAGAAACCAAGATTAAACGCTCTAATTACATAATAATATTTTTCATAATTATCAGAAAATCAATAATCTCGAAATTAGACCCACAATTAACATCATAATAAAGGCCATATAACAATAACAATTAACAAACGGTGCACCAAATACAAATTCCGACTACCCTCCAAAAAAATTTAAAATCAAAAAGAAAAATAAAGTAGATAAAAATCTAAATACTTCCAAGTTCCAAATCATCCACTCAATAATAGATCTTCGCCATCTGTACATTCTTCATTTTCTTTTTTTTTTTTTTTTTTTCAATTTCCATTTTTACCCCGCCAACCAAATGCCTCCAAAAAAGCATCCCTCAAAATAGGAGACATTTTAGTAATTTCACCTACTAAATTTTTTCTTTTTTTTTTTGGAATTTCCAAACAATATTTACAGTGAAAAAGTTGAAATTCGTCTTCATCATATTCACAATCATGAATTCCCCAAAATACCCTCAAATGAAATCACTTGATTAAGTCAGAAACCCACCCAAAATCAGGCCCAGAACTCACTGAGTTAACTCGGTCACAATCAAGCGAGTTCTCCTTACTCAGCTTCGCATAGATCTTCGCCCTCAAATCTCTCCCTGATTCAACTCTTTCCATTGGAACTTCCTCCTCAAAACCCACATCAAACGGGTCAAATAGCCCAAGCCCAGACCTATTCGGAGTAGTCGGCCCACTTGACCCACCACAAAGCCCACTTCCCATAAACCCTCTTGGACTTCTCGGCGAAGAACACCCCATCTGAACCCCCCAAACATTCCTTGGGTTTGGGTTTGGGCTTGGGTTTAGGCCCATTCCAAGCTTCCCCAACTGTAACCCTCTCATAGCACTAGCAAGCTCACTCACTGACGGCGACAACGGCGGCGACTCAGGGAAAGACTCAAACACCGATGTCGGCGAATACCCGACAAACCCCTTACACGTGTCACCTCCTCCGATTCGACGGGGTGACTCGGACAGAGAAGGGAGAACACGCAACTGCTCAGGCGAGTGAGCAAAGAAACAAACACGGCGTTTACAGTGGGGCCCATCTTTGCACGGCTGAGTCCTGTACCGAGCGGGATGAAGCCAGCACTCGAACACCCCGTGCGCGTACTCGCACGAGTCACCTTTCCGGCAACTCCCACGGCGGAACTCCGGGCACGCCGTACCGGAGTAATGGTACTTCCGTGGGTCCCTCCGGCGAGCCTTCTCACCTGGGTGAGCGTACGGACACTCAGTCCAGTCATGTGACCTGCCACGTACGCACTTCCGTACCTTAAACTCGTACATTCGAAAGTTGTCGCATGTAAACGAGTCAAAGGGGAGATCAGTCGACTCAGTGTCCGAGTCATCGAACTCGGAAGACGGCAAATAACGCTTCAAAGCAGCGAAATAATCGTTTGTTTGAGGGGAGAAAATGGGGGTCGTTGGATCTTCGTAAGGTGGGTCCCATTGTGGAATATCAACCGTCGGATGTTGGCGATGGATCATCATCATTTGATTTGTTTAGTGTGTTTCTCTCTCTAAAAAATAAAATCTTGGGATTTTCTCTCTCTTAAGACAGACAAATGAAGCTGGGTTAGTGGTGAAAATGGAGACATGCGAAACAACTGCTATAAGTAGACGTGGGAATTGAAATTTAACCATGGTTAGGTTAGGTTAGGTTATATTTTAACTAGGGTTAGTTTAATTATGGAGAAAATCTACTGGCTTCTACTAGGTGACTAGGAATGTTAAATAAAATAAGGTTAAAAGAAGATGGGTTGTCTGTCACGCTAAATTATGTCACCAACAGCCGACCTTTCATGTTCTGTGTCCTTTTGCCTTCTAATTATGCTAAGGTTGTGTTTGGGGTGATGGTAATGGGTTATGGGTTTGGGTATGGGTATGGGTTGGTGGGTAGGGTGACAAAAAGAAATGTTTTTGGGTTCTTTATTTCTCACCGTTTGTACAAGTCATTATGATGTGGACGGAGAGAGATTAATGTCTTTTTATGATGGATAAATCTTTCGATATCGTAATTGATTATTGGGATCAAGTGAAGTGCCAAACATAGTAAAATTTAGCTAGTATATCAAAGTAATTCGTATGAGATAAGTGTATATGAGTATAAAGAATCGCGTGGAATAAATCGAAAATGGCATGAGATTGATACGAGAAATAAGAAAATAATGATATTCTTGGGTATTATGAATACAATATCTTTTTCCATTTTTAGATGTCTACTTTAGTACTCGTAAAAAGAATCAATACTCATATAGATATTGACATAGATATAGATAATCGGATTGATAGATAGATTTGTTACACATGCCTCATTTCTATGCATATTTTCAAAGTTTGAATATATTTATTTATTTTTATTGTCTTGGCAAATTGTACTCATTGCTGATTAATCTGTATTAGACAAACAATGATTCAAGTCATTTTAGTAGTACAATTGAAGTATTGTTCCAAAAAAATCAATTACTGTAAATTCATTTACTCCGTAATATTATACTTCGCACAAAAATTTTTGAAAATTGATTGGACATATGGTTTGTGATAATTATTTTCTACGCATTAACATCATTATTATTATATTCCTTGCCATTTTTTGAAATATTTATTACCACTAGTACAATTTTGTATACCAAAAGTCCAAAAAAGAAAAAAATCTATATTTTGAAAAGTATTTAGAACTACAGTACTAAAATACTCCTAAAAGTAATCCATCCAAAAGGAAAATGACAGTGGGGTAATTTCTCTATTTTTAATTAGGGAAAGAAAAAAAAAAAAAAAACTCATAAGTACATTTATTTACCTTATCATAAAAAACGTAGCATGCCAAACAAAACGCAAGGGTATGAATATTTTAGGCCCCAAAAAAAAGTGGGAGCCAAAAATCGTACCATAAGCAAGGTGCTAAAAAGCCATGTAACCACGTGGGGTCCACCCCGTACGAAGCGCATTAATATCGAATCACCGAGAATTTTGAAAACCCCATAAACAACCCATCTTCACTCCTAACTCCAAATGACGTTCACCTAATTTGATTGGAAACCGCCTGTCACGCTTCATTTCCCCTCCGCCAATGGATAATCCAAAATCCGAATACGAGTACATGCCACTTCACTCTCGTTTCAATGTATTTTGGTCAAAATTAAGTAATTTACATGTTCTAACATCCAAAATATTTTTAACATTGACGGAAATAAATACAGTTAATAATTACTCTTTTCGTTTCATAATATTAGTCTTATATATTTAAAAAAGATTTATTTATATTGAATATATTCCATTTTTAACTTAATTTTTTTGGAATTAATTGTTTACGGATTGATGACATGACTCATAGTAAGGAAATATTTACCTTAAATTATACAATTATAACTTATACTTTCTCAAAAAAAAAAATCAAAAAATTTAAATAAGGTAAACTTATGAATTATTTTGTACTTTAATGTTAAATTTCAAATATTCTTTTTTTCTTATTTCATGTGATTGATTCTATATGGGACTAAGATTATAAAACGGAGCGAGTATGAAAATATTACTCCCTCCGTCCCATAATACTTGATACAGTTACCATTCCTGTCCGTCCCAAAATACTTGGCTCATTACTAAATATAAAACTAGACCACTAAAAAAAATAAAATTCTTATACTCTCTTTTGGACTACAAACCCCAAAATCCAATTAAGTCTTACATTTTCTCTCTCCTCATTACCCCCACCTCCCCCACTTTTTGTGTTCTTACAATTAAAATACGAAAGAGAATCTTTTATATAATAAACAAATGTTTTAAATGGAAACACATGTAGTTTTCTTAAACTACGTGTCCACCCCAACATCCCAAATATTATTGGACGGAAGAGTAGTTCCATTTTAAATTATTTACAATGATTAGATATAACTTACTCACACTTATGTCAAACCGTTGCAAATAATATGAAACGAATGTAGTAATATAATTAATAACTGTTGAATATAAATAAATGATTAATTACTCAGATTTAAAAAAAATGTGCACGACATAAAGAATAATTTTATTCTAGTTCTTTGAAGTGAGTGAAGGGAAAAAAAATAGGTCACGAATTAGTAAATTTATTATTTATGTACATATTTGAAATTATATGAGTATCATTATAGATAGAATTTGATTGTAAGTCTTGAGTCTTGACCACTGGATACTATCATACTAATAACCTTCAAACTATACTAGCTAAGCCTAGAGCAATATTTGAGCATCACCTCAAAAAGACAAGAAAAAGAATTTATAGTTGCTTGTTTGTGAAAAGTGACTGATAGAGTTTAGTGTCCTAGCTAATATATTAAGTGGCTTGTAAAAGACAAAATCATATTAGTCAAGTACAAACTGGATGAATGGACGAGCTGAGTGATGTACCATTGTGGCCTTATATATTGCTCTTGTTTCTTCATATTTAAAAACAAATTGTACAAAAAAGAGGCAAATTTGCCTAGAATAATCCAATATTTGTTCCGTTATTTCAATATAATCTCATTTTTCGATTATTTCACATTAATCCAATCTTTTACTACTGCCATCTTCGCATATCAAACCCAACAATATTTTGTTTGTCTTAATTTCACATATTTCAGGTTTAATAGGTTCAAACAAATTCAGTCAAGTTCGGTACAGAAAAATAAGTTAAAATAAAAAGTTATTTAAATTCAATTTATAATTAAAATAAATTCAAATAAGATAAAATACGTTTAGAGAAATAATGAGCGAATAAAATACATTCTCAATTTAATACTAGTCATACTTGGTACACATCATCAATGTAAAATTCTATAGTGCTAATCAGTAACCGTGCAAACTGAAATCAAGGTACGAGTAATTTTTTTATCAATAATACAAACCGTTAAAACTTTTACGAGTAGCAGAAATTACCGAGTTAGTCAAATAAGACGAGTCAACAAACCAACTAAAAGCCAAAAGCCAATTCCCTCAAAAGGCCAAAAAAGGAAAACAAGGATTAATTACAAACGCCTGTTACAGTCTTATGACATAAAATTAATTTCCCTCTTAAATAAATTTTATCCTTCTTTTTGTAGATATTTATCACGAGAGGTAATTTGACACGCGGAGAAGTAACAGTGATCACTACAAAAGTATACGGATTAGAGAATAAATCGGTGGCACGTGGAAGATGATCGGACCATTTGATTAGGAAGTTTACAAAAATAGAAAAAAAGAGTGGTAGACAAAGGACAGGTGGCAGTTGAGTAACCGCCGGATTTCAGTGAAACTTGATGGCGGCAAAGTATAGTAACCAATTTGCATCGTCCTCGATTTTCGAGATTGACCTAATTTTTATTTTTCTAAATTTAGGTTTTGCGCTTGTGGTGTAAGTTAGTGATGAATCATTCAGTTTACTAATGTGCACTACTAGCTACACGACGTTTAAAGAGATTTTGATTTGGAGGAACTTCGATGTCTTTCGTTTGAATCGAGTTGATCTTTGCAAAATTGCAACTCTTGCAAGCAATGTTTTGTTAGCACTATAACAAATTAATAATTGTATTTTAAGCGGGTCAAAATGAATGGGTATGATATTTTATGGGGACGAAACTATCAAATTAGTTTCGAGGTCATATTTTTGTTTTGTATTCATCTATATACTGTATATTAAAAAGTGTTGTTAAATAAGTTTAAATGCCACATGGAGTTCTCTGTAATTACAACTTCAAGTTAAGCTACTAAAATATTAACCATTAAGCTACTTCTCTAATACATGTTATTCTTTTCAAATTTAAATAAGGATTTAAATCATGACATTAATGCAATGGTTAACGACTCTACAATAAATAAATAAAGGGTATGAATTTACTAAAATAAAAAAGTGTATAAATAGGTTTTTGTTTTATTAGAGGTATAACCTTCCCAAACAACACACGTAAGTGTCATACATTGATAAAAGATGCGAGAATTCGAATAACACTGTATATGTTTAAGAGACGTACTACTGATGTTGTTGCCATATCCCATATGGTTTTGAAATAATTGAACCTTTTTAGACTTGTAAAGTGAACTCTCATTCTTGGTAATACGGGCACATTTGAACCTCCATGTTTCAGTGTTTCACATGTGATGAAAAAATATATGCTTATTGTAACTTTATTTTCATCAATGTAATTATACTGATTAGGTCTGATTATATCTAGATATAAGTGAAATCAGGGCCGGTCCATGCCCTACACCTAATAAATTCAATTTAAACAAGTTCAAGTGAAGCAAACGAACCCTTTGTATAGCGAAGATTTTATCTTTGGTTTAGATGGAGTCATTATTATGAGATCTAATACGCATATAAATTATTGGTTTAAATCATGCAAGTGTGCAACTTTTAGGTAGAGAATGAATTCTTTTTCATGATCGTCATCAACCCCTTTTTTTTCTTTTTATTTATTTATTTAACCCTTTACAATTGACTAATAGAGTACACTATTGAAGAACATCCAAGCTTAAGCCTGTAGTTCTTAAATTGATGATGACTGATGATAGACAGGCACTAATAACTAAGGACCCCTCCAATTTTTTGGACTAATTTGGCTGGTTTTGCTAATTTTTTATGCCTCATTAACTCATTTAGTAGTGAGTTTCTGAATTTAGTGTAACAGGTCAGATTTAGAGTATGCCAAAGCCGGCGCTATACTAATTGAGAAAGAAACCTACTTCTTATTTTCTCTTAATTTTTGGAAGCATAATTTTTATTCCAAATTAGATTTAATAACGTTAATTTGAGCTATATATGATAAGACTTTTCAGATTCGGTCAGGTGAACCTTAATTATTATATAATTTTGTAAGAGTGAGGGAGATCTCCGGGTGCAGTGGTCCAGGGGTCACCTCGCATCCTTGGGGTGTGAGGCTCGAGCCTAGTCCTGAACAAATCCCCTCCCCTTAGGCCCTTACACATCCCAGACATTGTTAGTCAGGTGTCCTATATATGATAAGAGTTTTCAGATTCGGTCAAGTGAACCTTAATTATTATTTTAAAAATAAATAAATAAATTGTGTGAGAGGTAACTTAATTTAGATCAGATTCGAATAATCTAGAAAAAAAAAGAGTTGTACTTTATTTCTTGCACGAAATTCAATTCGGATATCTGGTTCGATTTATTTTATTTTTAAATTGATAAAGGATTGAAAATTCATTTGTTTAATCTTGCTTTAAGTCTGATAACATACATTTTAAATAGGAAAAATTTGTCTAAAATAATTTCAACTTTTTCTAATTCGTTGAAAATAATCCCAACTTTGGATTATTTTTTAATAATCCGAACTTTAACTTGAATTTGCTTTTAATGGTCCCGGCAGGTCACCAACCTACTACAACCGATTTTTTATCCACGTGTTGCTTTCTAATTGGTTAAAAAACAATAATTTTAAGATAAGATTATGAATTACTTAGCTTAACACTAGACTAATATTTTTTTATTTTTTTTTTAAAAAAAAAACACCGCCCCTTCTCCCAGCTGCAACTTACCAGCCCCTTACCCCTCCTGCCAGCGCCACCCTCTCCCCCTCCCCTTGCCGGCGCTCAGACCGCTGAACCCCTTGTGGTCGCCCCTCCCTTTCCCTATCACCCCAACTTATCCTTCCTGGAAAATTTACTACAAACCCAGCGATTATTTCCCTTCAATCCGCATATTAGTTCTACCTTCCTAAGATCATGAAATTGGTTCCTATGGTCTCAAAAAAGCTACCCTTGCTCTCCTTCTATTGCATTCGTTGTTTCTCGCGATTTAGAAGATGCCCAAAAGCTCATCAATTGGCAAAAAGGAGGTGACTGAATTGCAGGAAAACACGCCAAAAACCTCTCTCTCGTTGCCCCGACTTCTTGCAACGCCGACAATCTTCTGTCTCCGGCAAAATCTTCTCGGTTATGGTTTCAGGGAAATTATGGTCTTCATCTTCGGTACTAATTTGAGGGGGAAATTTGGGAAGGAGAAGATGGTTTGGGGGAGAGGGGAGGGGCGGCTGCCTGGTGGGGGAGGTGGCTTTTGATTAATAATAATAATAATAATAATAATAATAATTAACCTGTATAGCCGGTCACTGGTTAAATGGGACCATTAAAAGCAAATTCAAGTTAAAGTTCGGATTATTAAAAAATAATCCAAAGTTGGTATGATTTTCGGCGAATGAGACAAAATTGGAATTAATTTAGTCAATTTTCCTTTTAAATAACTCTTTGCAAAAATCATTCATTATTGACACAAATACAAATCTAGCATCAAATGATAAGGTTATGTTTGGTTAATAGTGGCTAGTTATTAGCTAGTTTAATTTAAGTGGATGTGATTAATTGCAATAGTTGTTATTTGTGTAAAAACGTTTGGTAAATACAGAGTAAATGTTGATTGATAGTTATATTGTTAGGTAAAGTGATAATAAAGACATTAGACTGATTTATTATCAAATACTCTTAGGGGGTGTTTGGTATGGGTTTTTTATAGGGGTGGAAACGGAATCAGATTACCTTTTCCGTTAGATTATGTTTGGTAAATGGGTAAAGTAACAAATTCCGTTACTTAGTGGTAACCAATTCCACCAATTTGTTTCCATTGCAAAAACTGTGGAAATGATTCACGTTTCTTTCCTCAAACCCAAAAAACACAAATTTTACTCTTTCTCTCTCCTCTCGTTCCATAATTTTTCGAAGAATTCCCAAGTTTGATCGATCGAATCTCCCGATTTTGCTCAATTTGATCAATTTCCTAGCTCAAATCTCCAGAAATCAATAATCTTAACCATCACAGGTTTGTTTTTTTATCAATTTTTTGTTAGATAAACCCTTGATTTTGAATTTGTGTTGAAATTTGTATAATTTTCAGTTTGATTGTTTGTATTTTGATTATTTTTTTATCTCAGATTGTTTGTAGTACATAGATTGTTAATATGATATCAATTTCTAGGGTTGTTTGTTTATATCAATTTCGATTTATCAGTTCGAAATTTCTAGGGGTTTTTTTTTTTCGTTTGTTGATTTTCTGCTGAATTTGATGGTTTATATTGCTATTTTTGCCTATAATTGCTAGTTATAATGTGTTTCCCCCCAAATTTTTTCCCATGATTTTGGTTTATTTTCTCTTTCGATCATGTTGAATTTGAGTAGTTCGCTATGGTTTTTGAAGATTGAGAAGTTGTTATGGTGACTATAATGATGAATGCAATAGTTAACGTAGAAGGGGTGGAATCTGAAAGAGGAGTTACCTTTGTTTTGAAAGAAAAGTTGCCAAATGCAGCTTCCTCTTTCTCTCAAAAAACTGAGGGGCCATGGAAGTCCTAACCTGCTAGTTGAGCACACATACTACAACTACCTGTTCTCATTCAGGCAGTGTACTCTGATCTGTATAATTGTGTATCCTAATAATCATGATACAATATAAAGAATTACAAAAAAAATTGAATATCATCATGGCAGCGAAGGTCACAGTAATTGAATTTCTCAAACTTCACACCTCATAGAAGTTGTTATGGTGACTATAATGATTTATTTTCTCTGTTTCTTGTATTTTAATGGTTTTTGATGGGTAATATATAATGATTTGAGTCGTTGAAGTTTTGATACCATGATTTAAAATACATGTCATAAATCCCATAATCATTGTAGAAGCCAAAATTCTGCAATGCCAGAATACCAGAGTCAAACTGAAGCTTGATAAAAGTAAACAACCATATATTTGAAGTAAAGCAAAATGATGTTCATTACAGTAAATCAGTGTGATAAGAATGACAGCAAATTTGTAATCATATTATCAATTAATTAGTTAAAACCCTGTCCCCTTATACTTTATCCTGTTAAGAGTGTTAACAGAAGCTAGAAATTATGCTTAAACATTGCTTAAACAACTGGCAGTATTATATTAGCCTTGATATATTGTAATGTATATGAAATTTTGTATTGCAGGACTAATTTTCTGTACCACAAAGTACCTGATAATCTAGTTTTCTCTGTACCTTTGTTTAATACAGATTAGGTGGATCACACAAATTTCGTTGTAGCATTAGAATCTTATCTATTTCTATTGATGTATTTTTAAGGTTCTTGAAATGGCTCGTATTGGGAAAAAAAGAAGAGCAAAACAAGTTCAATTGGTTATTACAATGATTATAGTAGTTTTTATGTTGTTTTGGATTTGGTATTTGATGAGCGTTGTTACAATTAAAGGGGCTCAAATCAATGAAAGGAAAAGGAATAGGAAATTGTTACGCTCGTTATTTTTGAGTCACTTAATAAGACAGAGTGATGTAAGCTGTAAAAGTGAGCTTCGTGTCAATAGACGTTCTTTTAATATTATTTGTGAGATGCTTAGAGATATAGGAGGTTTAAGTGGAACAAGAAATATGACTCTTCAAGAGATAGTTGCAATGTTTTTGTACACATTGGCTCATCATCAAAAGAATAGGTCAATTGGAAATCTCTTTTTAAGAAGTGGGGAAATAGTGAGTCGACAATTTAACCTATGTCTAAGGGCTATTTTGAAGTTGCATGAACACTTATTGCACAAGCCTATAGCGATATCTAATGAATGTGAAGATGAAAGGTGGCAACCTTTCATGATATAATTCCATTCATGTTCTTTTTTCTGTTAGATTTTCATGTAATGTATGTAAATGAGTCATATCTTTGTCTTTTATAATGTAGAGTTGTCTAGGAGCGCTAGATGGTACCTATATTAACGTAAGAGTGACTTCACAAGAAGGGAAAATATCGAACAAGGAAAGGCACAATTGCTATGAATGTTTTAGGTGCTTGTGCACCTAATATGGAATTTATTTATGTGCTTCCGGGGTGGGAAGGATCAGCCCATGATGTATGTGTCCTTCATAATGCTCTCTCTAGGCCAAATGGTCTTAGGGTACCTCGAGGTAAATGGAATAGGTCTTTTGTTTTTTGTGAGTATAATTATAGTTGTTAGTAAGGTATCTAGTGATTATCTTATTTTGATTTTTGTGAAGGTAATTATTATTTGGTTGATGCGGGCTACACTAATTGCGACGGATTTCTCGCTCCATATAGGGGGCAACGATATCACCTTAAAGAGTGGACAGATAAACAACCTGAAAGTGCCGAGGAATATTTTAATTTGAAACATGCTAGGGCAAGAAATGTGGTAGAGAGGTGTTTTGGTTTACTTAAAGGGAGATGGAGCATACTTAGGAGTCCCTCGTTTTTTCCTATACGCACCCAAGGTCGTATCGTGATGGCTTGTTGTTTACTACATAACTTAATTAGAAGAGTCATGCCTACTGATGATATAGAGGAAGAAGAGTTGAGTGAAGATTCTGATGATGATTCCAATGATGAACCTGAATATATTACAAGTGTTGCAACTTCAGATCAGTGGACCAATTTTAGAAACACACTAGCACAAGATATGTTTAATGGTGGAGGGCAAGAGGTAGAAGAGTTTAGCAGTCAAGATCCTCGGTGTAGTGGGTTCAAATTACAAGATGTTACTGCTGCATCACCTCATGTTAGAATACTCTTTAGTGCTAAGACCAAACTGTTAGAATCCTGTAACTTGATTTACTTACTTTTTTAGTGATATGTTTAATTTACTTACTTTTTTCTAGTGCAATTATGGCATTGCTTCTTTAGTGATATGTTTAATTTACTTACTTTTTTCTAGTACACCATATGATACCTATACTCTTGCACTCATTGTCTTGATATATGTAAATTTTCTCTTTGAAGTTGTATATGATGGGAGAAGAGGGAAGCAATCGAGGAAGAGGTAAGAATAAGCGTTTTTGGACCTTTGAGGAAGATACGGTGCTCATAAAATATTTACATAAGTTATCTCTCGATCCTAAATCGAAAAGTGAAAGTGGCTTCAAGAGTGGTTACATGAATAAGTTGGAAGAAATGATAAAATCTGTGCTACTTAATTGTGGCTTGAAAGCTGATCCACACATTGAGTCAAGGATTAAGCATTGGACAGAGAAATATAGTGCAATGGCAGAGATGTTATCTACTTCTGGATTTGGAAGGGATTCGGACAAAAAAATGTTGCAAGTAGAGAAAACTGTATTTGATGAATGGGCTAAGGTAAGTAAGCTTTATAATGTTCTTCATTTTTTATGATTTGAGTAGTTATTAAATTCATTTCAATAATGCTATTGTTGACGTTGTAATGTTGTTGCTTGAATGTTAGTACAAATTGCTATAATTTTGTTTCCTACTTGCTACTATATTCTATGGGCTTGCTGCTCAAATTGTTGTTGCCTGTTATATTGTTGTTGTTGTTGTGTTGTATTGCTGCTATTGTTATTCTGTAGTTTCCTTGTAGCTGCAGTTCTGTTTGCCCCAAAACATATATTCCATTCGTTTTTAGCCCTTAGTTCCTTCATCAAAGTTAAAGATCTCGAAAAGTTATTCAATTTAGGCTCAAGAATTGCTTGATTTGGAATTTTGTGCTAGGAATTATGCCTTCTGGAAGTTTTGTGTTATGATGCCTTGGTTATATCGCAGCGAGGATGTTATTATTCATTTTATAGTGGCAAGCCTTGTTGCATTATATTTCTTTTTTGATTCCCTATTCTCTTTGTAGCCTTATTGATGGATTACTGTAGAATTTCCCTTCACTTGCTAATATGAGTATTTGAAACATATATTTGTATGAGTTATTAAAGTATTGTATTTGGTATTGTATGAGAATATCACTTTCTTGATTAAGGATTTATGTACATTGCAGGCTCACAAGAAAGCAAAGGGGTTGGATGGAGTACCCTTTCCTCATTATGAGACATTTGCTGAAATCTATGCAAAAGATAAAGCAACCGGAGAAGTTAGTGAATCATTTGTTGGAGCTATTGATAACATGAATGTTGAGATTGCAAATCAGTCTATGACAATAGAGAGTGACGAAGACGGTTATATGGATTCTCCCACTCATTCTACCCATTCCACTCAATCAACAACTCAATCCCATAAGCGGCCAATGAAGAAAGAGGATGACAATACTCCTTCCAAGAAAGCAAAGATGAAAGAAATGAAGGGAAAAGGAAAGACACATCAAAAGGTAGATGATGCTAATGAGTTAGTAGCTTCTCTTCATAATACATCTAAAACTTTTGGGAAAATTTTTGAGGACATAAATGCAAATCTTGGAACTATGGAAAATTCATGGTCCAAAGCCGAAGAAAGGGAGCAAAAAATGGATGATGAAGTGAATAAGGTGTTAGAAGAAGTTATGAAATTGGATGGTGTTTCTCCTTCGGAATCTTTAGAGGTGGAAACAATTCTCATGGCTGAAAAACATAAGCTTCGAATCTTTTTTCAAGCTCCAACTAACTTGAAGAAACAATATGTTTTAGATCTCCTTAAGAAAAAATAGGTGGGAGTATTGCTAATCATCTATAATGTATGGCCTCTGAAACTTTAATTAAGGCCTATGGGTGCTAGAACACCATATTTTGTTCTTGAATTTCAGAATTTTGTAGTATACATTTGTTTGGTTTCCTACACAAAGTACTTGTTATGCTATGATATAATCAGTTTAATATTATAGCTAACTTATTTTTATGGTATTTTAATAATAGTATGTAACTTGATCAAGTAAAATTGCTCATATATTAAATAGCAAAAACTTCCTTTTATAAGTAGTTGCATTTTCAAATGATTCCTTTCCATTAGGTAGACCAAACAAGAACAAAGGGAGTAAAGTTTAATTGATTCCTTTCCATAGTTAAACCAAACAAATGTAAAGGTAATAGCTAAATGATTCCTTTCCCCCCTCTTATTTGTTTCCTTTCCACTCCGTTTCCATTATCTGAACCAAACACCATCTTTATAGTTTTATTGATAGAGGATAGTGAATTCATGAAATATGCGATAGCATAGACATTTTTTTTTTTATTTTTTTTTAAGGGAGCATAGACATTTTATGAAAAAATACCTTTTAACCAGTGTGATTCAAACCATCCTTCCAATACTTTTTTTACGGAATAATCAAACACTTCTTTAAATTTTTTAGGGAGTGTTTAATTTTGATCAAAAATGAATTTATTTGACCAATTTAGAGGGTTCCTCGACAAATTCACTCGTTTTATTGTTTGGAAAAGGGTTGATTATGCTCAATCTCTTTAATTTTCTTAAGACGTGGGGAAAATAATTTTTTTTAGGACAGCTAATTATAACACAGACTATTGGGTGCGGCAGTCCGCACCCAATGTTTCGTGCGGCAGAGGAGATGAGGATGACGATGACGACAACAACAATGGTGGACGATGACGATGACGATCGAAAAATGGATCTTGCTGTAGTAATGGTGGATTATTAAATTCGTCGACTATATGGATAAAAAGTTAAGCAAAGAGGAGATTCATAATAAAGAGGAGAAAGACGATAATAGAAACAATGGTTAGAGGATTGGTCGGAGGATGTACGACAACAGTGAGCGAAATTTGTTAAGAAGGAAAGAGATAATTGGAGGAGATGAGAAATAAGTATAGTGGTTGTCGTGCTGGTGATAGAGGAGAGAGAAAATGGGTGGTGGTAGTGTGAAGGGAAGTGGTGATAAACAATTTGGACTTTGGGTTAGGGAATATTAATCAAGTGTGGGATCAAGACCCTAGATCATATCAGCCAACAAAAGGAACCTATCAGCCAATAAAAGATACATATCAGCCAACAAAAGATATTTATCAGCTAACAGAAGGAACATACCAACCAACAAATGAAGCATATCATCCAACAAAATGAAAATATCAGCCGACTATAGAAACATATATATATCAGCCAACTGATGTTTGATTGCAACCAACAAAAGGAACATATAAAAAAAAAACATATCAGTCAACAAAAGGAATATATTAGCCAATACAAAAACCATAATATCAGCCAACAAATGAAACATATCAGTCAATACATGAAACATATCAGCCAACAAATGAAATATATCAGCTAAGCTCGCCACACGTAATTATGCATACGGCAGACCACACCCAATACTTTCTCTATTAATAAAAGTTCAATAAAATGACAACTTTATCCTCAAGCTATTTAGTTGTTGTTTGTTACTCGTAATATATAATTTAGTTTGGCATTAATTTGTCATTTGATATGTTCAATTAATAAAACAAACACAAGCTATAAGCCAACTTTATTATCAAATGGTTTTATACAATGTAATTCTCTTAGGGTTGGTTGTTATGTGTCACCACCTCCGATTCTTAACAACTAGCTAGGTCAAGTTAAGTCCTTAGCCATTCGCATACGAAAAATCACTTAACAAATTAAACTTTTTATTTAGAATATCTAATGCAATCAATTAGATAAACTAACCAAAATAAGCATCTCTTAAGCCTTAACAACCAACTATCCGATAATTACTTAACAACGACAAATACTATCTAAATTAATCATACCTCTCTTTTGCCCCCAAAATCTCCCTCAACCAAACACCCCTACTGGCCTATAGAATGAGCAATGTGAGCAACTAACTATCACGTGATATATCGTATGGGAGGATTAGAGATAGGATATTTATCATTACGAAGTCACGCGGATGTAAAACATATGACACGTGGTTGGTAGATAGAAAAAAAGGGTACCCCACAAGAGTATTCCTCTTTACCATTCCATTCACTCGTGGCATTTGGATAACATTCTACTCAGATCTCCTTGATGTTGACCTTCTTCCTCTTCAACCTTATCCACAACATTTTTTTTTTTTTTTAATTAAGAGATAAAAATAATAAATTCCTAATTTCTTGGATTTCGTTTGCCATTTTTACTCGTGTAGTCATATCTATACCATATTACCATGCTTTCTATTTGTTCAACTATAGTCTATATTAGATCTTTCCACATTGTTTGGACCACTTTTGGTCTACTTCCTTTTGTCTTCTTCCTACAATTATGAACATTTTTACTTGTAAAATTAGTGTCATATTAAGTGCAATTTCATGATTTGGTTGGATTATTAATCGATCATTTAATTACACCAACCCAAGGAAAGTTTATAATTGATCCTCAATTACCATATAATAAAATATAGGCAAAATTGGCCGCATCACCCTGAAATACGGCTTAGATGCACTGAGCACCTTAAACTTTGCGTAGTAGCTAAAACACCGCCAACTATGGTGTTAGGTGCGACGTGTGCCTTAAATGAAAAATTCCGGCCACTTATTTCTCCGGAGGTGGTGAATCTTCACTCTCCAGAACATTTTAAAGAAATGGTGAACAATTCCTATCCACTTGGCATGCGCGGATTCACCTTTTCCGATGAAATAAGTGGTCGGAAATTTTCAGTTAAGGCACGCGTCACACCTAACACCATAGTTGGTGGAGTTTTGACTACTACGCAAAGTTTAGGGTGCTCAATGCACCTAAGTCATACTTCGGGGTGTTGCGGCCAATTTTGCCTAAAATCTATAATTAATTATATTTGATTCACATTTTGGATATTTATTTATCATAACAATTCTTATGTACGTTAAAGTAGTAATCTTGCAAATTACATATTCAAAACTTAAGATGTGCTCTTTTCGTCTATCTTTCAAACTTGTTTAGTAAGAAAGTCCAATCTATTTGAATTTTTTCTATCCGGACTATCCTAATACAAGCATGCACTTATCAACGTATTATATGAACTAGTTGGAATTAACAATATCATACCATAATACGAGTATAATAAAATTATTTTCACCATACCAAAATTTGATATTGTCAACAAAGTTCAAGCTAAGCTAAAATTATCTTCATCGACTAACTAAAACATAGTTTTATTGGAAATCGATTTTTATTACAAATAATAAAAATTTACTTTTGCAATCATATCGGAAAATTGCAAGACTTAAGAAGTATTAGAAATACAGTATATTACTTCCTCTGTTTCATATAAATTAGATGACACATTTTATTTAGACACATTTATCAATGCAAACTTCTAATGCAAATATCTTTGATTACATATATATTAGCAAAAATTATAAAAATTTGATATTTAAAGAATAGATGTTGAGACGAATCTAACAAGACCCCACATGACTACACTTTTTCTCAACATGAAATCACAAAACGAAGTCAAAACAAGTTATTTAAATAGTGCACAAAGTCAAACTGTGTCATCTTATTTGAAACGAAGGAAGTAGATTAGAAATAATAAAACCAATAATCAAGCAACGTACCAAGCAACGTACGTAAGGTAGGAACAAGGGAGTTGTTAGTATTTATCTGATACGGAGTATTTAATTAATTGGCTATCATTAGAGCTGCAACTTGTGAGCTAGCCAATAATAAATTGAAAGTCTCACATCAATGGAAAATAAAAATGGGGAAAAAAGAAACTGAAAAACACTCGCACCAGTCAGCAAAATTGCGACATGAGAGCAACCTTTTCTATTTTCCAACATAAAATATAGGAAATTCAATTTTCCATTTATAATAGTAATAATTAATAATAATACGAAGTAATAATAAAGAGTCACTTTCAAAAAATGTCTTCAGTTTTATCCGCAAAATATCAGGCTGGTCTCGTGATTGGTAAGACTTGGTCACAACTTCACTACTATTGTAATAGTACACTCCGTATATGCATAGTATGTATTAATGGTATACTTGTAGTATTTTCGTGATATTACAATATTCGAATCGCATTAAAAACAAAAAGTATATACTCCTTATATATTTCTAAATGGTTAATTGGTTCCAAACTAATTGACATAAAACTAAGAGTTTGTAACATTTACATGTTTAACCTATTGTTTGGTTGATATGTAAAATGATTAAAATGACTAATTTTCAATTGAAAATAATTTAGATTTGAAAGGATCACAATGGTAATGAAATGAACAAAATAATACTCTAGAAGGGGGGGGGGGGGGGTTGAATAGAGTATGGGCGTTTTTCGCAAAACTGAAAATGTCAAGGCCTTGAAATTAGTTACAAGGCAGAACAAACTAATTTCAGACCTAAAGTCAAGGCTTTGAAAACAATTGATACAGCGAAACTGATTGCTAAACAGAATGTTAGATGCGATTGTATGAATTTAGCAAATGATTAGTTTAAGCAACATAAAAATAAGTGCAAGAACAAAAAGTAAAGAACTCAGAATATTGTTACGAAGTTCAGCACAAAGGCCTACGTCTCCGCCTAGGGTTGTCCAACCCGTAGGATTTTAACCAACTTTTATTTCTTCCCTTAGAGTTCTAAAGCAACCTAGAAGATCTCACTATCTTCTCTCCGCAGCACCTCAGCTACACCTTAGACACTCAATTCCCAGAAATAAAAACTAACTCACTTTTACTATACTTTGAGTATTATAAATTTACTCTAAGTATATCACTCTTAAGATATATACTTTTTCACTCTTAAATACACTTTTCTTTTCTCTCAATCTAATCACACAATAAGGTATTAAAGAACTTAGAGAGAAAATATTTAACACTCTTGCTATAGTGTATAAAGCTTGATAGTTCTTGAGTGTTCTCGTCGTTGTTGTTCTTGTTGTTATTTCTTCAGCATATCTTGACGCTATTTATAAGGCCTTTAGGCGGATTTCAAAACGTTGCAAAGCTGACTTCAAAGGTTTGAAAGTCTTCAACAGAATTCCTTAAATCTTGCTTCAACAGAATTTTCGAAGCTTTTGAAATTCAAACGTAGAAGGCTATTGCATTCTGATTCAACGTATATAATTAGTACATTAATTTAATTAGTCTGTATTCAACGTTTATCTTGAGAAGATTAATCAGCCACCTAAAATTTGTGTGAAACGCTAAACATCGCCCGCAATTTACCATATAAAGCCCACAAATATGTTATGATTTGACCATTATGCCCCTTTTCTAAAATTGAAATAATCTCGGTGTAAAAAATGTGGAGCCGTACTGGCTCGCCGGGGGAGACCGGATGGCAGGCCGGAGATGCGGGGGACGCCGGAGGTACGTCGTCGTCGACGGAAAACGAGGTAAGTCACCGTTAAAATTCACGGTTTACCGTCGGAGTGGCTCCGGCGCCTAGGGTGGACGCCAAAACCGTAGCCTGGACGTCCAAGCCGGACGCCAGAACCACCAGAGTGGCGTCCAGCCCAGACGCCCATACCACCGGAGTGGCGTCCAGCCCAGACGCCCAGACCACCAGACTGGCGTCCTGGGCAGACGCCACTCCACTGGGTGAGGTGGCCCTGCCAGGCGCCAGTCCAGTGGCTGTGGCAGCCCTGGCAGACGCCACCTTTAATAATTAATTTTTTTTTTCTTTTTTGATTTTGTTGTTGTTTTTTATTTAATTTTTTTGTAAAAAAAAAAATCGAAAATGATTTTTTAAAAAAATTCGAAATGGGTTTTTTGTAAATTAAATTTGAAAATTCGAAAAAGGTTTTTTTAAAATTAAATTTGAAAATTCGAAATGGTATATTTTTAAATTTAGTTTGAAAATTCGAATTGGGTTTTTATAAAAATTAAGTTTGATTATATATAATTATGTTTTTTTTTGTGTTAATTATGTGGAAATATAGAAATTAAAATTATCCGTTAAATGTATTTATTGTAATATATAATTGATGCAGGAATATGGTGGAGACGGAAATGATTACAGTGGGATATTTGGACATGATGGTCCATTCGAAGAAGCTCAACAGGCGATTGATTGGGCAAAACAGGTTGCAATTGCAGCTGGATTTTGCTTGGTAGTAGCAACTCATAAATCTCAACGGGATGGTAGAATGGATCGCATTTTGAGATGTGACCGTTATCGCAAAAGAGAAGAAAGAGATTTTCGTACAGCCACTCGGTTTGACACAAAGCGGAAAGGTTGTGGGTGTGAGTTCAGAGTAAAGGTTCGACA